TGAAAACTCACATCGTCAAACGTGATGGCACCATTCGTGGGCCAGTTGGCAAGTGTCGTTGTCGCGTCGCCTTCAGACTCGATCGCCATATACTCTTGGAGGCGCTCGGGCGACCGCATCGCAGCTTCGAGCTGCGACCACACCGTCGCGAGGTAGCTCAGATTGGCCGGCATGGCGAGAACATACGTGATCAAAAGCCCGAGGAGGCCAAAGCTGAGCTCGTGGCGATGCCGGAGCGCCACCAGTCCGCAAAGGAAGGCGGCGACGATCGTGCTGCTGACTAGCGACATGCGCAAAGCGAACCACGCGTTGAGCGCGGTGGCGACGGCGCGTGCTTGGCCAAATGCCTCGATCTTGAGCGTCGCACTCGCCTCGACCCGGGCAGTCTCTTTGAACGCGCGGAGCGTCGTTGCGCCGTCAATGGCTTCGGCGATCGCTTGCAAGAGCGGCGCGCGCGATGCGTTCTCGAGACGGTGCACTTCATGGAGCGGCTCGAGGTAGAACGCGCCGAGCTTGTAGTCGAGGTACAAAAGGGGCAGCACGAGCAGCGCCGGCCAGCGCGTCATGAACAGCGTCGTCAATAATGTCGCCAGAAACGACGAGACTTCAAAGAGGATCGGGCCAAGCGTGAACGGGATGCTGAAGTCACACGCGACCACGTCGTCGCTGCAGCGGCTGCACACGGCGTCGGTCGACGTCGACGCAAAGAACCGCATTGGCGCCGCCAAGAGCGCCGAGAGCATCGCGCCAAACATGTGCTGGGACGCGCGCAAGCCAAATGCAATCACCGCGTACGTTTGGAGGATGACGAAGACGCAGCTGCCGAGCGCGAGCGCCGCGTAAAGCGTCATGGGCGCGTAGCCAAACGTCGCGGTCTCGTCCGGCGTCATGGCCCAGTGCGTGAGCCAAAAGTCGCCCCCGATTTTGAGCAGCTGGAGGCTCATTGTCAGCAAGACGATCGTGGTCACGGCAACACACCCGCCCATCGCACGCACGTAGCCGCCAACAATGGCCGTCGACACGTGTCCGTCACCGTCGTCGTCGTCGTTCTCGTCGTCGAGAAGCAGCCGACTCGACTCGGTGACACTTGGTGCATCCTCCGCCAACGGTTCGAGCATCTCGGGCAACTGAAGGCTGCGCATCGACTGCTGCGACGGGGAGCCGAGGAGGTCGTGGAGTCGACGCTGGGGCATATCTGACTTGGCTTCGACGGCCGCCGAGACAGCCCGGTGGAGCGCGCGCGCCGGCTTGGTCTCAGCCACGCTCGAGGCCATGCGCTGGAGCGGTCGGACACTCTCGGGCTTGGCGTCCATGGCCGACGACGTCGCCCGGTGCAGCGTGCGGGGCTTGCTCGCAACGACACTCGAGACGGCGCGGCGCAGCATCTTGGGCGGGTCTCGCGACGTCTCGTGAAGCCGCCCGCCTTGCAGGAGGAGGCTGCGACGCACACTGGGCGACTGGATGATCTCCATGTTGTGTGTCACGAGCAGAACCGTCTTCTTGGCCAAGAGGCCGAGAATGCACTTGGTAAAGACCTCGCTGGCCAAGCTCGGGTCGAGCGCCGCTAAGGGCGCGTCCAAGAGAAAAATGTCGGCGTCGCTGCAGACCGCACGCGCCAGTGCGATGCGAGCCTTTTGGCTAGCAGTGAGGATAACGCCCTTGGGGCCCATCTCGTTCATGTCACCGAGGGTAGCGACGTCCTTTGTCAGCGCACACGCGTCGAGGACCTTTTGGTATGTCGCGCGGTCGTACGGCTTGCCAAAGAGGATGTTTTCGCGGATCGTGGAGTTTTGGATCCATGCCTGCTGGGCGACGTACGCGACGCTGCCGCCAACAAAGACCGAGCCGCCGAGCTTTTGCATTTCCCCGAGGAGCGCCGCGAGAAGCGACGACTTGCCTTGGCCGATTGCGCCATGCAGCACGACGAGCTCGCCGCGTCGAAGGCGGAGGTGGAGGTTGCGGAGGGTCGGGCCCGAGGTCGCATGCCACGCAAATGAGCCCGTCTCGATCGCGACGACGACGCCTTCGTTGGCGTACATGGCCGCCAGCGGGTGCGACGGCCCCCAGACGCTAGCCGCGCTCACTTCATCGAGGAGCAGAATGTCATTGATGCGCTGGACCGACGTGAGCGACTGGACCATGGCCATGAGTGCAATCGGGAGGTTCACAAGCGCATCCTGGAGCGGCTTGAAGAGCGCGAGCGTCGAAAAGATGATCGTGACGGTCAATGCTTGCTGCATCCAGAGCGTGAACGTCGCGACAACCGCCAAGGTCACGAGAATCAATGTGCAGTTCATGAACGAGAGAAGGACGAGGATGATGCGCATGAGCGTGTGAATGGACGCGAGCTCGAGGCCGCGCAGCGCCTTGATTTTGGCTTCGTATTCCGCCTCGAGCGCGTCCATTTTGATGGTTTGGATAGCGGCCAACACTTGCTGGAGCACTGCCATGCGGTCGTTCTTGAGCTCAAAGCAACGCGCTTGCTCGGCGCCCATGAGCATGGCCGCGATCGCGTTGATGACCAAGATGATAGCGACGACGCCGAGCCCGACAAAGATGGCCCAGCCCACGTTCGAGTAGAGGAGGTAGAGCACGGCGGCAATCTGGAGCGGCACGATCCACATGGCGTGCATGCTCATCGCAAAGCCCATGACGTTGATTGTATCCGTAGAAATCAGGTTGGCAATGTCGGCAGCCATCTTTTCTTTGGCGACCGACGTCGACGATGCGACGGCGCGGAGGCGGAGCACCTTCTCAAAGAGCATTGCGCGCAGCGACGACGAGAACTGGAGCCCAAGGTTCTCGTTCATGTACGCCAAGTGCGCCTTGAGGAAGGCGTTTACAAGTTGCACGAGGTACAGCGACCCAATGAGCGTGAGCACCGCTTGCAAATCAATGACCGGCGCGGCGACGGCGCGGAGGAGCGCACCGAGGACGTAGCCTGGGCCGTAGAGGTCGCCGAGGACCGAGAGACTCTGGAAGAGGCCAATGCAAAGGAAGCGACCCCAGTAGATGGAGAAGAAGGTGGCGAGAAGACCACCGTCCTTGTGCTCGTACACGTCAGCAAAGTGCAAAGTGAGCGGACCGACTTGGCTCGCAAGTGGCAGTGGGTACAGGTCGTCGGGCGACAGCTTGCGCTGATTGCCGACGAACAGCAACGGCTTGGCCCAGCCAAAGACGAGGCGGGAGACAGCACCGGCGGTCTCCGTCGGGTGGGCGGCCACGGCCGTGAACGTACGGTACATCGGCAGCAAGCAACTGGCAACCGAAGTGGCCCGTTCCGTAATAAAAACACACGATTAAAGATGGCTTGGTATTTGTATCGAGTGTGATAAAAAACATGCCAATCACCGATGTGATCAACACTCCTCGCATGGGATATGCTGAGGTCGTGGGTACGAACCCCGTGTGCCCGCGCAACGAGGTACCCAAGCCATTGGCGCCGGCGGACGTCAGTACGCCCGAGTACTACGTAGCATGAGGAACGCTCCGCGATCAATGCTCCTGTCGGACGAGAGCAACGACGAGCACGCGAGCCGATTACGATAGCTCGGCACCCAAGGCAGTTCTCTTGGGTGACTCGTTGCATCTTGCCGCGCGAGTTATATGTGTTTTTGTGAAGAAAAGCACTGTGGGTAGCTGCAGAGGTCGCGGGCTTGATGGAACCAAGACGCATGTCGTGTAGGTGGACGAGGTATCGCCGACCTACACACGCAGCTACCACAGCGTAGCCAAGGCACAGGACTCTTTACGAGTATCTTGACAGGATGCTGTTCAAGGCGCCGATGGCGCGACGGATGCGAGTTCGAAGCAGCGCAATTCCCCGTCCATCCAAAGAGGCGACGGGTGAGTGTCAAGCGAGCCTTCCAGTCTACGCACTTGTTGAGGACCTCGCTTTTGTATTGCCTCAAAAGATCAAACACAATAGTTAATCCTGTCCGATGTGCCAGTGATCGTCGAGACGCGATGATTCTCTTTGAAACGGATCGACCTTATACGCTGCCCTCCTGCTCTCTGCGTGTGCGTGGCCTTCCTGGGACGACCTCGCCCACGGCTGGAAACGGCCCATCCGCGAACGATCAACTACAGTAGCTCATCCAACGGCCCCTGTTCGGCTACGCCGCAGATCGCCCACGACGCTCGACCAGGCGTACGTAGTGTTCGACAGGAACGAAGCAGGACGCCCTCGGCGACGAAACAAAACGTGCCGCCTACGCCTTGGAGAGCTGTCGTTCATCTCGACTAGGGGCGCCGAAGAGCTTGCCCTTATCGCATGCTATGCACTTGCGTTCGTCAATCTTATAGTTATCCTTCAGGTCTTTCAGACACTACGTTGTCATGTCATTGCTAAGAACGAAGGCGATGGTGCATGACGGTGCTATTTCCAAACATCACTCGGCTGCTTACGCCGTAGTCATGCTATGATACTCACTGCTACATCGGGGGCTGCATCGGGCACTTGCTTCATATCTGCACCAATATGCAAGGATGTGGAGGACGTCCTTGCCCACTCGGTACCTCGGCATCATGTATTTGATTGGCCCTTACCTTCTGACGCGCCCTGGTCATATCTGCACCTTGCACCAAATCAGACTTGCGAGCATTTGATGCCATGCGCTGCATCATGGCTTACTCCACTTGTTGCGGTGATGATGATGGCCGCAGCACGGAGGGCGTGGCGGTGCACCCAAGCACGTTTGCATAAACCAACGCGTGTGTGCCCCGGTGCATGGACCACCCACGCGATCTCGTCGTCTTCTTCAACTTGCCCGTGACATCAAGTTACGACCGGCTACGTTTCGACCCTCGCAGCACCGAGCACCGTGTCTTCGGAGCTCCCCGGATGCCTCTTTTGACGTACATCGGTACGCGTCCTAGGAGAGCGCGAAAAGCTCGCCGAGTTGCAGACGTTCACTGCTGTCCAAGGATTCATATCCATCGTGCCAAGTTGAAGTCGGAGCGAACACGAGTTGCACTTTCCCAATAGTAATAATAAAATCCAACACATGCCCCGAGCGCCGAGCGCCGTCGCGGCTGCCCTGTGAGTTCAAGGTCGAACCCCGGCCGTGCTCTCTGTGTTGCCTTTCGTGGCGAGCAGCTCCCTTCGCAGCGTCCCGCACTCGAGTGGACTTCACCAGCGCTCGAAGCGTTGCCGCCATCCGCGAAACTCAACGTTGACTCAACAGCCTGCACCGGTCCAGCGGCGTGAAATCACCTGTCGAGTCAACACCGTCACGTTGAAGATCCCGTTAGCATTCGGACATGTCCGATTTGCATCGTTGGAATTCGGTGTTTTTCTCGACGGCGTGCCGAAAGTCCTACATGAACCGTGGGCCGGCCAAAGATATAAATAGGACTTTTTGGCCGGAGGGTCCAAGACCTCTCACATTTGCATTTGCCTCGCACCTCCAACATGCTGGCTTCGTCGTCCAAGATGGCCCTGCGCCGCCACGCCGGCGCCTTGACCGCGGCCGCGCCCATGCAGAAGCGCACGATCGTCTATGGCCCGCTCTACAAGGTGGCCAAGAAGATGATGCCCCGCATGTCCAACACGGAGAAGGCGGCGCTCGAGTCGGGCACCGTCGGCTTTGACCGCGATATCTTCACGGGCAGCCCGAGCCTCAAGGCCCTCGACAAGTACTCGGCCAAGCTCACGCCCGAGGAGCAGTCGTTCATGGACAACGAGGTGCAACAGCTCTGCGAGATGCTCGACGATACGCAGATCTTCCGCGACGGCGATCTTCCGCTCGAGGCATGGAAGTTTATCAAGGAGAAGGGCTTCCTCGGCATGATCATTCCCAAGGAATACGGCGGCAAGCAGTTTACCGCCCACGGCCACTCGATGGTCATCACCAAGATTGCGTCGCGCTCGGCGCCCGCCGCCGTCACGGTGTGCGTGCCCAACTCGCTTGGCCCTGCCGAGCTCCTCCTCCGCTACGGTACGGACGAGCAGAAGAACTCGTACTTGCCGGCCCTCGCCGAAGGCAAGCACCTTCCGTGCTTTGGCTTGACCGGCCCGTCGTCGGGCTCGGACGCTGCCAACATGCGCGATACGGGCGTCGTCTGCGAGCAGGATGGCGTTCTCGGTATCCGCGCCAAGTTCAACAAGCGCTACATTACGCTCGCGCCCGTTGCTACGTGCGTCGGTCTCGCGATCGATGTTACGGATCCCGAAAACCTCTTGAAGGGCACGGGCTCGGCCGGTATCACGGTCGCTCTCCTCGAACGCAACCACGAAGGTCTCCAGATGGGCCGCCGCCACGATACGCTTTCGGTCCCGTTCATGAACGGTACGGTCCAGGGTGACGACGTCTTCATCCCCATGTCCAAGATCATTGGTGGCCAGACGCGTGTCGGCTTCGGCTGGAACATGCTCATGGACTGCCTCGCCGAAGGTCGTTCGATCTCGCTCCCGGCGTCGGCCGTCGCCGGTACCAAGATCTCGGCCGTCGCTGCCACGGGCTACGCGCGCATCCGCAAGCAGTTCAAGGTCCCCGTCGCGACGATGGAGGGTGTCCAGGAGCACCTTGCCTCGATCGGTAGCAACGCGCTCATCAACATTGCCGGCCAGCACTTGGTCAACGGCATGATCAACCAGCACGAGCAGCCGGCCGTCATCTCGGGCGTCTGCAAGCAGCAGATCACGGCCCGTGGCCGCGACGCGGTCATTCAGGCCATGGACGTGCTCGGTGGCGCCGGTATCTGCCGTGGCCCGAGCAACTTTTTGGCCAACACGTACATTAGCATGCCGGTGGCGATTACGGTCGAGGGCGCCAACACGCTCACGCGGTCGCTCATCATTTACGGCCAGGGCCTCACGCGCGCGCACCCGCACTTGTACCCGCTCATCAAGACGCTCCAGGACGGCAACGACCTCGCGGGCTTCAAGACGCACGTCAACGCGCTCATCGGCCACGGTGTCTCGAACACGGCGGCGTCGCTCACGCGCGCGGCCACGCGTTCGCGCTCCAAGTCGGACCTCCTCGGCCACTACGAGTCGCAGATGAGCCGTCTCGCGGCCAACTTTGCCGTCATGTCGGACATGGCGCTCGTCCTCGGTGGCAAGCTCAAGTTTGCCGAGATGATTTCGGGCCGCTTTGCCGACGCGTTCTCGAGCTTGTACCTCGGCTACTCGACGCTGTGGTTTTACCAGCAGAACAAGCACGTCCAGGGCATCGACCCGGTGTTTGACTACGCCATGACGTCGCTCTGCTACGAAGCGCAGACGGCCTTGTACGGCATCCAGGACAACTTCCCGGTGCCCGGTATTGGCGGCGCCATGCGCGCGGTCACGTTCCCGTTTGGCCAGTCGTACGCGCCGCCGTCGGACGCGCAGGTCCGCAAGGTCGCCGACCTCGTCTCGACCGACAGCGGTATCCGTGACCTCTTTGCCGAGAGCATGTTCATCTCGAACGACCCGGAGGATCGCGTCGCGCTCATCCACGCGACGCTGCCCAAGGCCATCAAGGCCGACGCAGTCCTCGCCACGCTCCGCAAGGAGAAGCGGTCCGCGACGGCGGCCGAGCAGGCCCTCATTGACGAAGTCGAGGTTGCCCGCGAAAAGATCATCCAGGTCGATGCCTTTGACGGCCTTGGCAAGGAGATTGGCGCGCCCGCCGACTATGTCCGCCCCGGCTTTACCGGCAACATCTTTGGCTTGACCAAGTAAACAACTAGCTAGTGGTAGTAAATCAACATCGGTTCCTTATATTTACACTCCACACGACGTCTTCACTGGTGCGCCTCTACGCGCGTTATCATTCGCACAGGGCTGCTCAGCAGGCGACGGAGAGCCCCACTTGACGAACTTGAGTCGTCGTCGGTGCACTGGCGCCCATTTGGCGTGCTACTCAAGGGTGTAGCGGCCTGCGAGGACATCGATGTCAAAGGACATCAGCGTCGTCTCTCGCCGCCAGCGCAGCTGTCAACTCTGTACAACGAACGCGGCTGCTCTGAGTTGATGAATGCCAGGATCAGGGCTCATGCTGGAGCTTCGGAATCTATTCAGCATTTGATTGGCGGGCTTGGTTCCGTCTCGACCAATGAACGCGCAGAAAAGATTTTTTTGACAGAAAGGGCACCCTCGTGTGGCCGGCGTCGAGTGCCAGTGCTGAGGACCATGATGCATCATCCGCTAAGCGGGCTGCTATTGCTTCTGCTAGCTTTGGCGACCGACGCCAAGTGGACAGCGACCGAGAAGGACGTGTTCTACATTGGCAACGACATCAAAATCATGCACCAAGCGTCGCGGCAGGCGTGCAAGCGCGACTGCGTCACCGTCGTCGGCTGCGTTCTGTATGTATGGGAGCCGCGCGACGGTGGCATATGCTTCCTCAAGAGCAACAAGGGCGTGCAAGTGCCGCTGCCAGGTGCACGCGCCGCTGCGCTCATCCGCCAGCCGCCGGATTTCAAGGATTTGGTCCCACGCGGGCGGCTCGACCACCGCGCGATTGAGTTTGGCATTGACGGCGATGCACCGCTGCCGCGCGTGCCGTATCACTACGTGGTCGGTGCGCAGTGGAATGTCTTCTTCCCGCGCGCACTCTACACGGCTGTCTTGAGCACCAGCGAGCGCGTCTTTGATCCCATGTTTATGCTGTCGCCCGACATTGGGATCCCGTCGCCGTACGCGGCCGTCGAGTCGATTGGCGAGTGCGCGCGCATTGCTGCATCCCAGGACTTTGCCTTCTTCACGTACCTTCCGTCGCCGCAGCTGTGCGTGCCGGCGGCCTTTCCCAACACCAACCCGAATGGCGACCGCGCCGCCGTCTTGCGGCACCCCATGGCCGGTGCCCACGTCACGATGAGATACCCGAAAGAAGTGCCGTCGTCGTTCACACACGCGGCGCCGAACGCTACGAGTGCCGAGGCGTGCCTCGCGGCGTGCGAAGCCGCAACGTCGACCTGCGTTGGGTATCACTTCATGAAGGGGTCGTGTGCGCTGGTGGCGCCGCGGCCCGCGCGGTCCGACGTCGTTGCTGGCTGGGTGCACCAAGACGTTGCGCACGAAGAAGACGTGATGATCCGCATGGCGTACATGCCGGGGTTTGCGCTCACGGGGTACGTCGAGCGAGAGGGCCCGAAGAAGCCGTCGCGCTACGACTGCGGCGAGTGGGTCGAGATCACGCAGCACACGTTCTTCCACTACGACGAGGCGACGGGCGCCTGCGCGTACTTTGACCCAGCGCCGTCGTCGACCAACAAGACGATCCAGCTCCAGTATACGCGCAACGAGCTGTTGCAGCTGCCGGGGCACCTCCCCACGACCCCGGTTCTGGCGACGCTCTCAGCGCCAACGGCATCGGCCTGCGACGCGCTGTGCCTCCCGGCCAAGGACAATTGCTTCGCGACCGTCTTTGACGCGGTGACGCGCGAGTGCGTCTTGCACACGCCGACGCCAGACCCGGCGCGCACGCTTGCGTGGCTCGCACCGCGACGGCTCCTCGACAATCTGCAGACAGTCACGGAAGCGCATTTTTTCGTCACGGCGCACCAAGACGACCACGAGCTCTTCATGGCCGAGACCGTGCTGCAGCGTCTCAACGCGACAACCTCGAAAGCCGTCTTTGTCTACGTGACGGCGGGCGACGCCAACGAGACCAACGGCTGGTGGGAAGCGCGTGAGACGGGCACCTTGGCCGCGTCCAAAGCGTGGGTCGAGGCGCTCGGGCTCTTCAACTCGCGCGTTCGCATCGAAACCATCTTTCTCGCGCAGCACAGCGTGCACAAGGCGACGATCGGCAACGCAGTGCACTACTTTTTACGGCTCACCGAGGCCGCGGTCGAAGCCTTCATGTTGCGCAAGGAGCTCGCAGTGCCGCCCGTCGACCGGCCGAGCGAGCGCTATCACCGTCTCGACGACATCAAGGAGGTTCTGCACGCCATCATGTACCGCGAAAGCAACCGGATCCCGACCGTGACGTTGGCGACGCACGAATTCAAAGGGTTTGCAGGCGAGGATGTTGGTGTCGACCACGAGCTGCACAGATACACGGGCAGAACACTCGAGGACATTGTCGCATTGTCACCGCAGCTTAGCAACTGCGTCTCTCGGACCTTTTACTACGGCTACCAGCGCTGGTTGCACCCGAAAAACATGTCGCCAGTCGCCACGCGCCTCCAGCGTCACGCGTGGGCGAGCGCGAGCAGCGCCATCTTGAGTGACCACAAGTGGCACCACCCCGTGTGGCTCACGCACGCCCAGCACCTCGGTCGACAGTATATTTCCCGCACCGTTTCCGTCGATGGCAAGTGCACTATCGACTTTTGAATGAAAATTGTACAATGTGCCTGTTAAACCAACCCTGCCCAACCGACTCCTGGGATTCGCGAACGCGGTTTCTACTGTGGGCAAGGGGCGATGCCAAAGCCCCACAAATGTGGTGCGGATACTTCTGCCTCGTCGTTGACAGACCAGTGATCTACCACAAGTTTCAACGTACGATCGAGGTCCGGCTGCGAAATTCCAGTGAACGCGATGCGCCAATGTACCAAGAAGTATGAACGTGATCCATCGCAACCAGAGAGCTGAAATAGTGCGCAGATGCACGAAATGTTTGGACCTGCTATGCTTGTCGTCGGGACACTGTCCGTGATCTGTATAAATGCAGGGATTTGGAAGAAATATTTCGAGAATACGAAGGAAAAAATAGGGAATGAAAATGCAAATGACTTCTCATAACACCAGCGTCCGCTCACACCGTCTTGGAATAGCAACGGTGGACGTTCATCAAGAGCCAGCAACTCAAAACTCAATTCGAGTTGCTGGCCGACATCCCGAGTCAACGGACGTGGTCACATACGATCATCAAAGTCATTTGTGATGTCAACTTTGAAAACAAAGTAAAACTGAACGTACTGAAGAATTTGATCCTGTATAAGTACGGTCTTGCTTTAATTTACCGTAAATCTTACGTTGCTATGTAACAAATCGCTAGAGTCCTTGCGTAGATTTCATTGCACCTCATTGATGGGCAAATGAGATATTGCAATTTCTGCATGGCGCGTAACAATCCGCATAAACCCAGCTGTTTCCGCATACGAACTGGTGGTGGCACTGAAAAAAGCGCAAATTTACGGTACATTTGGTCGTCGCAGCGTGATTTTCAAACTGGACACTATATGCGAAATTTAGTGATCACTATATTATGTCATTTGTATAGTGTGAGTACTGCATTGGACAATGTGCCATGAAATCCAGGACAAAATCGGAAACATAATTTGAAATCAGGCTTTTTTTACGTGCTCCTCCGAAGACCGACGCGGGACTCGCGAACGAGCGCCCTACACTGTCGACGCGTCACCTGCAAACGTTGGATAATTCATTTTGTTTGGTCTCCTGCTCGGCTGACAGAAAGAGGTGCCGAGGTTGTCGAGGCCCGGATCGAGGACAACCTCCGAAAGCTCCTCCGAAGCGGCCAAGGACAGTCGAGCACCGTAGCAAATTTAGCTGGAACCAGGTGTGTTGATAGTTAAATAGGCGATCGAACAGACACACTTTTATCACTCGATCGAAAAGCCAGTGATGTCCATGTTGACAATCTGTCGACACCAGTTCAGCGTCGGCCATGCACAGTGTAGTACGTACCAGCGTGAGGTATTTGGTCATCTCGTCCTTCGTTTGATAGACGGGCAAATCGAGACGGTTAAAGCACGTGTGGGCTCGCGGGAACGGGTTCCCAATCTCGGGGCCGCAGAACGCGAGGTTGAACGGCTGGACGCGGCCGTCACTGCTGATGAGCGCCTACGCCGTCCAGTTGCGTGTCACGCTCTCGGTGATCATAGAAAGACGCGACCTTGAACCCCTGCGCAGGCACGCGGGAGCTGCCAGTCACAAACTGCAGCAGTCGCGCTTGCTCTTGCGGCGCCATGTTGTTGACAATGGCCCAAAACCACCGGCAATTCCGGAGCTCGATTTCCGTCGGCACGAGCGGCGTCACGTACTTGACCTCCGAGTGCCGCTGCCAATCTTCCGTATCGATCGACGGCACACCTAGTATCAATGTTTCAATCATTCACAAGTCTCGGCGCCAAACCGCAGAGAAGTAGCTCCAGTTCTTGGTAGTCAAAGAGCTTGAGGAGACCTTCGGGCACGACCGAGTAGAGCGATGCGAGCAGTGTAAGCAGCTGGATCGAGACGCTGTCGAGCATGTGGTACTGGAAGAGAAGGTCGATGTACGCCGCCTTGTTGACGGGCGTCACATCAATCGTGTCGCCATTGGGCGCCAATGGCACGACTTGCACGCCGTTTGGCACTTTGCGCGTCTACACGAATCGTCACGACTACGATCTTAGCGCAACAACGACATACCACGGTAAAGTCGAGGCATAGTGCGGCGATCGCGTCAGCGTCCGTGGCGCGCTTGAGCCACAGCAGACTGCGGTAGAGCTCGTCGTCGAGGAACTGGAGGTCCGTGAACGAAATAGGCACGCCGAGCATGTGCTTGAGCAGCGGCAGCGCCAAATGCACTTGAATGAGCTGTTCTTCGAGGAGCGCTTTCCCAAGGATACGCCCCGCAAATGAAAAGTACTAGGGCATGATGAGTCGACACAAAACTAGACACTAGATGGCGTACGTCGAGGTGGTTGGGCTGGCTAAAGCCCGAGCCCGCGTGGACCCAGTAGCTCGTGTCATCGCCGACAGTCGCGACAAAGAGGCCCAGCGATGGGTGAAAGAGCTCGGCGCAGAGAAGCGTGAGCCACTCGCGGAGGACGCCACCAGCGTCGAGCGCGGGCTCGCCCACGAACGAGACGCGCCAGCGCTGCCGCATCTGGTGCGGTTTGAGCAGCATGATGTGGTCAAACGAGTCGGCGAGGACGCTCTCACGACGGACCACTGGCACATCATATGATCTCCTGCAACAGAGGCAGAAAGGCCATACCAATGTCGACATGGCCCGACTCCCACGGGAACCAGAGGCGGTGAATCTCCGTCGAGAACCATTTGATTTTTTGGGCAAACGGCAGCATCGTGAGCTCTTCGAGGTTCATGACGACGTCGGTGCCCGCCATGTTGATCTTGTAGTGAAAGTCCGTTGCGACCGTATCTACCCTTGCATCATGAGCTGTCGATCGAAGGGATGCAAGGAAGAGAGACCGGATTCGTTGAGGACAAGCTTGCCCGTCGAGTCGCGAACGCGGATGTAGCCGATCGAGTGGACGGACGTCGAGCTCTCTCGGTCGTCGCCGCTGCGATCGCTTGGAAAGTCGCCGAGAATGATGTCGACCGGGTCGCGGTTGCTGCACGAGTTGGAGCGTCCTTTGCGCGTCTCGCGGACCTGCAACGTAGGTTCAAGCCCACGAACGGGGCAGATCGAGATGGTGTACCCAGCGATGGAGGCCGTCGGCGCCCGGCATGCGCTTCCACTGCTTGCGCCGGCTCGCTGCGATCTGGAGCTTGCTCAGCGGGAAGGCAGGGACGTGCATTAGCGTCTTCTCGACTTTGGATTTGCGGTCATGGTCTTTCAGATCGCGCTGGTGAAGCTGCTGAAGGAGCTTGAACGTACCCTGGTCAACCCCTGCGCACGTTATGAGCTCCAAGACTCGGACGACGACGGGTGGACGTACCGCGTGGCGTCTGGCAGAGGTCGCAGCGGCGCTTGGCCGGGTGGTTGTGGAACGAGCAGACGCTGCAGTCCCAGAGGTTGTGGTCGCTAAAGCTACATCGAACGTGAGCGGCGACAAGGCGAAATCCGGGCATCGCCAGCGCACCTGTCGGCGAGGTTCTCACGGTAGATGTCGGACGCTTCGGTATCGAATGGCACGACGTCGATGTCGGGCTGCATGTCACTGCCGTCGTCCCGACGGCGGAAGAGCATGAGGAAGACGACGAGCGCCGTAAGGAGCACGATCACCATGCCCAGGATGATGAACCATGCGAACGCTATCATGATGCTCGACGGGCCAATGTCGAGATGCGTGTCTGCCGCCGGTTCGCGCCGCCAGAGATACAGTCCCGACGGGCCAATCCCATCGCCTCCGCAAAGCCAGGTGGCGCCACACGGTGATACCCCGAAGTTCGAAGCTTCTCTGTCAACCCCACCAAGCTCGGCCACCCATCGAAGTTCGAAGCGTGGGAAAAGGGCCGAAACTATGTCCGCGATGACAAAATGATTAAAATATGCATTTCCAAGGTACATCGCAAAAGCCACCAGAGGCATTTGTATGCAATCTCATCGCAGAGCTCTGGAACCAGATTGTTCCTGTCAACGACGCATTGGCGACCGACCTCGATTCGGTGGCTGCAGCACGAACGAACGAGCGCCGTCCTTCTCTCGAGACCGACAAGCAACCGCATCTTCGCTATCTGTCGTGCAAAAGGTCGATGGCGACGGCGCCTGCGTGCGTGCAGTCATCGCGACGGCGTGAGTAATTGAGCTGCGACGGGGTGAGCATTCATCCAGTGCAATTGCGCTGGGCGCAAGCGCCGTTTGCCTACAGCCTACTGGTTTGCCTAGGCTCATTCTTCCCATGCTCCTTGCGATTGAGTCGTCACACCTTCTTGGGACGTTCGGAAGGCGCGCTACGGTCAAGCAATTCTTGATGCCGCCATCGAGTGGTCATTGAGTGGCCTTCGAGTCAGTTGGTCAACTGGATCGGTTGTCGTCGGCACTGCTCGTACACACAGTGTCACTGTCCCAACTGGATGCTGCCAACGTGGCTGGTCAGAGCGGACGACGAGAGACGACGAGGCATCTTGAGCTGCACACAATCGTTAGGAGGGTGTCAGCGGCTTCAAAGCATTGACCGACGACACTTGGTTTCACCACGGAACATGTCGTGTCCTTGCATCTCTACCTCCAACCAGTGGTCAGTCAATCGAACGTGACGCTTCGATTGAGCGAGCGACGGCGACGTCAAATGACCCCTGCCACGATGACGTGGCGGCACAGAAATGCGTTTCCATTATGAAAGGCGTCACTCGGATCACAAAAGCTCACGTCAGTTGACGTGGTTTATACTAATGGTATCACCTTAGTATACCTTGAACAAAGAGTCTCGCTGGAGGTGGGTTCACTCGAGCAAAGGAATGGCCGACACAATGTGGTCTGGGGGCGTCGCCGTCTTGACTGCGGATAGAGGCGTCGGGAGCTTGTACCCGCGCCACGTCTTGAGGTCGAACACATACATCGTCTCACCGTGCTCGAGCGAGACGACGCCGTTGAGAAGCGCGGATGCGCGGTCCAAGCAGTAGACGCCGTGGAAAAGCCACTCGTCGCTGCGGAAGAAGCGCGCTGCTGTCGCGTGCAGGAAGAGCGACGCCGCGCCGCGCACCAACGTGCCCTTCGCGACGCAGTCGGCGATGACGCTTGTCAGAAATGACGCGGCCAGAGCGCCGAGAAGGCCGAGGCATCGGTTGAGGCTGCCGATTTCGACCTGTCCCGTCGTGCATACAACGAGGCCGTCGACAATCGGTGTCGAACAGCTGCGTGCGACGTGCGCGATCGGCTCGATCGGCGCCGCGAAGGTCCAAACACTGACAGCAACAAAGGCCATGACGCTGCTTTTGACTGCGATGGACTGGGTGTATGTGGCTGTGACCATGGAGAAGACGTCGTTGGCAACGTAGACGAGCCACGACGTCTCGCCCGCCGCGGCAAGGACCCATAGAACATTGACGGGCGGCGCGACGAACCGCGTCCGGTCATTCGTGCTGTCGACGTGCAGACCGCCCGTGGAGAGCACGACGAGGGCTGTTACGCCGCGTACGAGCTGCAGCGGTCGACCGAGCCAGACGGCGCCGGCAACGCGGTTGAACTGAAGAAAGTTCCAGCCCTCGACTTGCCCAGCGATCGCGAGCGTGTACGCAAACAGGAGCGCGGCGACGCAGAGGAGCCCGACGGAAAAGCCACAGAGTGCAGTTGTCATGTAGCGCATGGCGGCGTGCGGGACATCGTCGGGGCCCGCGACAGTCACCACAGCGTCGACGTACGTCGAGATCAGTGTAAGCGAAGCGACGTCGCCTTGGAACGTGACCACCTCGCGCATGCCTTGCACCCACTGCAGCAACATGGCCCACCCAAAGAACGCGTATGGTGCGGACGCGACGAGGCCAAGCCGGCTAAGGGTCGATGTGTCTGCAAGGAGTCCCGCCACTTCAATGGCAGAGACCTCTGCGACCAGCGTTCGCGCCTGCACCTCAAGGCGCTCTTGGTCCGACGATGCGATGAAGGTAGATACAAACGCTTGCGCGGACTGGAGTGACGCGAGGCAGTTGGCCGGCGTCCGAACGTCTTGCGCGCAAATCTCGGGCACCAGATTCTCGACACTCGACGCGCCAATCAGCAAGATCGCATAGACCAAGGTGGGTTGGTCCAAGCGAACATACTCGAGACGCGTCATTGAACAGCCGCCATTGGCCGTAAAGAACGATGGAAGCCCGTCGCGCAGTGGCGTGGCGGGGCGAGATGGACATAAGATGTCCATTCCGCTTGCGTTGCAACGAAGCCATTCCTGCGGGACCGCCGACGCATTCCAGAGCGCCGGTATCGCTCCAAGCTGCACTCTTGCTGTCGCATTGGCATCTAGCACGGTCCTAAGGCTCCGCACCACGCTCTTGTACCAGGCGACCAATGCGTCTGGCGGACGGCCGCGCAGCATGTCGATCGTCCCAAATGGACCGAGCGCCGCGCGTACCATGGCGTCCTTGGTGTCGAGCGGTGTCGCGACAATGCCTTGCGCGATAAGTACGTCCTCGATCGATGTGGTGGCATAGGCGAATGCAGGCGAGCGGAGAAGGGACTTGCCATAGATCGAAGATGTGTTGGAGGACACGGCGTAAAGGTCGCTTGCAAAGCCCCAGTACATGTGCAAGCAGCTTTGCTTGCGGACGTGAAACGTGGCGTCGATCGTCGTGAGCGGCATGGCGTACGTGGCGCCGTACGCGGTCACGATGTCGTACGTGGCGCGGAGGCCGAGCACCTTGTAGTTTTGCCATTGCGTCGTGTACGTTGCGATCCCCGCGCGTTCCCAGCGCGCTGCTTCGCTCTCAATAGATGTTGTCAGCACGTTGGCGGCAGTCACCTGCATCCAGGTACGGCCGTGGTCACTGGCCCGGAGCGGATCCAAGATGCTGCTGTTGAGGCCGTGCCACGACGACGAGCGCGCGAGGACGTCCCAGTCAGTATTGCTGAGGACGCTCTCGAGGTACACGGCCCCGTTGCTAGCAAACGCGGACGAGTAGCATCGACTTTGGCGCGCGCTGGAGGCAGCCATCTCCCACGTCTGGTTCAAGTCGAGGAAGCAGTAGGGAGTAAAGATATACGGCAATAGGGTTGTGTCCATCGAGCGCAAGCCGGCGATGACCGTGGGGAGCGTCGCCTCCATGTGCAACCGAGCTCCGTCAAGCGCGGACGACCAGATGCGCGACTCGTTGGGAAGACGCACGCTGTTACTCTCAAGAAGCGATGTACTAGACGCCGCTGTGGATTCGTATGCGATCGACAGCGGAGCGCTAAACCACTGTGCTAGCAGCGGCAGATGCAGCGCCGCGTCAAAGTTGGCCGAGAACAAGGCTGTCGAGAACGCCGACGAGGCAAGGTCCAGGTACCCAAAACTACAAGCGACCGTCAGCGCTACGTAGACGACACCGCCACCGGCACGGACGATCCGCCAGCGACGGTTCGTCTCTGAAGCATCGGTTGCTGCGAGCGTCGACGACGACGGCCCGCGGCGCACGACCACGGGCCATGCAAACGTCGGGGTTCGAAGCCCGACCGTGTGCATTGTCGGGTTGGCAATGTTGGGTGTCAAGACCCAGAGGTTCACGTCAAAGACGTAGTGGCGACCGGGGAGATACCCTGCTAACGTACTCGAGAGCACGTCCAATGTCGACGCTAACGCGGTGCGGTGCGACTGCACTTCGACGAGAATGCCGGCCACCGATGCCGAGAAGAGAAGCGTTTGCGGTGGCGCCGTCGGCTCGATGGCCTGGAACCACCACCACCAGTAGTAGTAGTAGTTGGAGATCTGCAAGATGTGATAGCCAACGCAGACGCTCGTGGCGTTGATCGCGATGAGCAGCAGCACGCGCTGGAGACTGCCGACGTATACGACACCAGCTGCGCAATTGGCCACGGTCGGCGCCAATGCGTAGCTGCACGCATCGGTGTCGAGGTAGAGCTCGAGGCCGACTGGGTGAAAGTAACTCACGAGCACGAGAACCAACCACGCAAGAAACGACCCGACGGGCGCGGCGCGGTGCAGCACGGTGACGGGTGCGAGTGCGTCTTGGAGGAGGTAGACGAGCCACGTGGCTTCGCCCGAGGCGACGGCAACCGCGACGAGCGATTTCGGCGCCGCCTCAAAGTACGAATACCCCGAGGGCGCCGTGACCATGGCGGTGGTGGCTGAGCTCAGATAGACAAGCGCCGAGAGACTGCGCACGAGCATCGCGGGGCGACCGAGCCACGAAAAGCCCGCAAGGCGATTGAAGTGCAAAAAGTTGAGGCGCGGCGCGTACGACGGGTGGTACCGCAGCGCCAAGAGCCCCACAAGAAGCGCTAGCGTCGCGAGCACGCCCGACGTGTAGCATACGAGGGCCATTACAAGCATGCCAGTGGCGACCGGCACGTCATTCGCGCTCGCCACCGCGGGCGACTCCAAGATCAGCGGGTGCGATAGCTTTGTGACGTTGGTTGCTGCATGAAAGCTTGCCTCTCGGTGCCCAAGAAGCCACTCGTGCAGCACAATCCAAGCATCGAGGCTGTCCAGCGCGATGGCTGTCGCGTCGGCAGTGACGAGCGTGAGATGCGCCGTGGCATTGTGCGCAGCGATAGCGTCAAGCGGTGACAACTTCTCTTGCAGCGCGCGGTGCAGCGGTGCCAGCGAGGTGAGCGCCGCGACACATGTTCCAGTGGTGTCACTACCGCAGATGTGATGGATTGCGAGCGGCTGCGTGGTGTTGGGCGCTAGCAGCAGCATGGCAAACACCGTACTCGCGACAGACACCGAGGTCGGACAGAGCGCGGCATCGGCGGCGCACCACGCGCGTTGCAAGAACGTTGGTGCAGATCCCGGTATCGATCGCACGGATGTACCATCCTGCACGCGGAGCGCTGCGAAAGCGAGCTGGAAGCGTGTAAAGTACATCTGCAACCTCCTCGGTGCGGGCTGCAGCACAGCATACGGGGCACTGGACGCCAACGCGCCGGTTGCCGTCGATGTTCCCTGGACGAGAGCGCAGTTGAGTTGGACGCACGTAGCCACGTCGGCCCAGAAACCGTTCGGTTGGGATGGCGGTGGCGGCAGCCAACGACGAGGCGTGAGTGTGATCGGGTACTCCATGCCCAGAGCATTGCGAACGACGAGCGTGGCCGTCAAGTGCGCGTCAAACGCTTCGTCGTATTGGAACTGCCACGTTTGAAGCCCGTGGTACGACCAGAGTTTGGCTTCGTCGGCGACACCATTGGTCGCGCTTGTGGCAAGTGTGGTCAACCACGCGCGGCCGCGAGGCCCGAGAGGACTCGCAATCGTGGCATTGATGCGGGCCAGGAGTGCGACTCGATCCGAAGACGCCGGCACGTTTCGCAGCACGGCCTCGAGGTACACGGCGGCGTTGGCTTGGCTGCGATTGGTGTTGCACCAGGAAGCAAACCCAGACAGAGGTATTGTCCGCGCCAAATCGGCCCAACAGTAGCGCGTTGCAAGTCCTTCGATGGCGCGGGGCGACGCAGCCCGTAGCATGTTGATCGCTGTGTGCAACGGCAGCGGTCGTAACCAGAGGTCCCGTGCCCATGCCGTGCTGTCCTCGATGCGAATCGTCGAGGACGGCGATGTGGCGTAGTACGTTTTGTCGAGTGCCAAGCTGGTGTTGTAGTCGAGGTAGAGCCCGTCATCGAGCAGCGACCGGTTGAAGCGCTGCAGCGACACGACAAGGTCGGCCAAGTACGTTTGGTGGGCAGATGCGTTAAAGCCGGCCCAGACTGCGTCGTTGGCAAAGCTGGAATCGATGAGAAACACGTACAGAGCGCTGCAGACGACCGTCCAGAGCACGTACAACGCAGCAAGCGCCATCTCGACCCGGTCCTGGCTCGAGGTGTACACGGGCGGTAGCGCCGTCGTCGGCATGGCCTGGCGGAGGAGGTTCGCCAGACGCGGCGCAGGCTCTACCTTCATCACGTCAGGTTCAAGATTGATTAACCGCCCGCCTTTTTGGCGATTATAAATAGTACACTGCTAATTCGACCTTCCTTGTATGTCGGATGGGAACGTCTTCTGCCCAAAATAGCCCCAGCCGTTGTTCTTTGCACGCAACCCTCAAGGCTGCACTAGCATGACTAGCTTGGGCTGTGTACATGCTAGAGGCCGAGCCCCCTTGCGATTACTGGACTATGCAGCTCAATACGAGAGCACTGGCACGCGCGCTAATGGTGATCTACTCACCGCCGGAACTCGCGGCATCGCTGCAGAGCTCGCGGCGATGCCATTATGTGCCATTTCTGCTGAAGTGGTCGATTGCTCCAGCAAACGTCGTCATCTGTCACCTCGAGATGGTTTGCCCTTGGTAAAATGTATATAGCCCACGTGCTCGGCCCATGAGAAGCGACCGAAGAAGCTGCTCGCCTCGTCGTCCTCGTCGCCAGCTGCTTCGAATTTGGATGGAGTCGGGGATTTTCGAAGCCGGCCTTTTAAATTCTATAATTTGATCTTGTGATTTGTATGGAGGGCGGAATATGTCAAAGTGCAACTTGCTCTCACCATCATGAAGGACCAACGCGACCCTACGACGGCGCCAGGCTGCGTCGCGCCCGCGGCCGCCCCGCGAACAGACGCCGAGGCCGCGCCACCCGTGCACGAAGTCTTTGGCGGTACGTCCTTGCTTCTCATGCAAGCCGAATGCTCATGGGCTGCTGGCCAGATGGCAACTTGAATGCAGTCATGCTCGTGCTCTTGCTCTTGCACTTGATGCAGTACGCAATGCGCGACCCGTGCACGTGCTAAGACGCGCCTCCTCTCTGTGTATACCTGACCTTGCGTACAATCCACTTTCGATTAAAAGCACTTGCGATCCAAGATCGACTCGTGGTACTCTTCCCACTCCTGCCGCGTGATTTGGATGTCCTTGAACGTCGGGAGCGACGCAAACATGGAGCCGCCGATCCACGCTGCGATCTTGCGGTGGGTGTTGTACCCTCGCTCGCGCGTCTCGTAGTCGGGTACGATGCGAACGTCGGGCTCGTGGAGCTTCGTGCTGAGCTCATGGTGCAGCCGCTTCGCAAGCCCTGGGACCATTGTGGTGCCGCCCGCCAGGACGACCGCGCCGCGGAGGTCACGCTGGAGGTCCTTGTCGCACATGGAGATGCTTTGCACGACGAGATCTGGCAAGCTCTTGGTCTCCTTTGCAGGATGATCGTCGGGCAGCGCTGAGGGGTCGAAGAGGACGTCCGTGGCCTTGGACCGGCAGTCGCTGTTGATCGTAATGACGGTCCCGTCCGGTAGCTCGAACGGTTTGTTGGTCTCGTTGAGTGGCGCGTCGCGCCCCGTCATCGTGTAGCAGTGGCTCTCCTTCATATCGGCAAAGACCGAGACGTGGTGGAGCTTGAGCGCATACCCACTCTTTGATAGAAGGAGCTCGAGGTGTTTTGTGATGTCCATGCCGCCGACTTGCAAGTGCAGCGTCGCATGTGGGAGCGCGTAGCCTTCAAAGATAGGCACTGCGTGGCTCGACCCGTGGCCGGCCTCGACGACAATACCGCGCGTCCGACCGGACGCAAAGAGCGAAAGCACGCACTGCTGCATGCTGTAGAAGGCCGACGCCTTGTACGACTCGAACATGAGCTGCGCGGTCTTGGCCAACTGCGCCTTGGCGGTCGGTGACGCACTCGTGCAGAGCACCTACGCAACTCCTGATGCATCGTGTGCGATCCATAATGGGCGCAAACCGGCATGTTGATGGCCTCGGGGTTCATGCGCAGCTCGCGCTCGAACGTATAGTCCCACACCTTCTCCATGGCGTCCCAGTCCGTGACGTTGCCGCGCACCATCGGGTCGACAATTTCAAGGTGGTCGCGGATGCTCGCTGTCTCTTTGCCAACGAAGAAATCGCGGTCGGGCTTGAGCCCGTTGTGGTGCGAGAGGAGCCACTCGGGGTTCCGTGGCGTGCCCACGGACGTCTGAAAGATGCCACGGGGCGTGTCTTCGCCCGAGAAGCCGACTTTGATGACGCCCGACCCATTGTCGAGCACGATCGCGCCGAGGTCGTCCATCGTGCCCGCGACCTTTCGCACACAATACGATCTTATGTGTACACCAATTGACAATATATCGATAAATAGTGTGATCGGGACGTTAGAAAGGCGGCTGGTCGGATGTCGCCACCTTCAACCTGTCCCGTCTCGTCGGCTTCTCCCAGTTCGCACGCCAGGTCCCAGGCCTCCTCGAGCATTACGCCGCTCGTATTCGTAGCGATGGACAAAGGAGCACCGGCTTGCGCTACATAGTCGCACGACCTTGTAAGTACGTGGCACGGTCTAGGACAGTCGAGGCGGTCGCTTGAAGATTCGCTCCAGGGGCGCGGCCGTGGGATCTGGGCGCAGAGATCGTCCTGTCGGACGACGGCGTTGGTCCAACTCGTGGACAGTCGACGCCGCAGATTAGTCGCGAGCAGCTGCACGCTACGATCCGTTGCGCTGGTGGGGACGCCGGTGTCGAATCATCCCACCGACTGGCGGGAAAGCGACAGGCCGCGATCGAATCGAGATACCGTTAAGAACAAAATTGAATTTCAAAAAGCGTTAAAATAGGAAGCAAAACCGACAATAAATAGTACAGGGCACGAATAAAATAACAGCGCGGCGCCGAGACAAAAACGGCCATATCGGACCGCCTCTAGTCCGACGACGAGCCAATGCTGTCGCTGCGACCAAACACGTCGCGGCCGTGGGCGATGCAAAGGCCCTTCTTCTTGCGGTACTTGGTGCAACCTTCGACGCGGCAGTAGTGAATGCCGCCGTGCGCCGAGCAGAGGCCCTTCGCCTTGCTGTGCTTGGTGCAGCCATCGACCTTGCAGTACCAGCCGCCGCCATGGGCGACGCAGAGACCGTTCTTGTGACGCAGCTTGTGGCAGTCGGCCACCTTGCAGTAGCGGGAGCGCACATAGACCTTGGATGCCATGGGTTGCATCATGATGACGCTCGGGAGCGGCTTGCCCACGGGGCTCGTCGCCTGGCTCTTGGTCTCGAGCTTCATGCGCGGCGTCGTCAGCGACGCGCATTCTTCGCCGACGCTATGGAAGCGGCACATGCCGTCGAGCACGCTAATGTTGCGGCAGCCGCTCACTGCGCATGTATGGTCGCGGCAAAGGCCGCCGATCGTAGCCTCGCGACTGCACGTCGAGAGGAAGCACTGCGTGTCGCGGCGCAGATCCAAAAGACCGTAGGCGCCCGTGAGGTCCTTGGCAAACGTGAGCGCGCGCATCGCGAGGGGCTCCGACTTGATGTGCACAGGGTTCAGGAGCGACGCGATCGCAAAAGGCGACCCGCGCACGTCGTCGGGAAGGCTCGAGGGCGGTGGCACGACAATGGTCATCGACATCGTGCACTGGGCGAGGATTGCAAAATGATGCACTGGGCCGCCTTGCTAAAACACCGGAAAACCGAAAAGCGTTTCGAAAAACAATCCTCCCAAACCCGACGATTGTATTTTAGCTTGGGTTTTGTATGGTGTCGCGGCTTCAACTCGGATTAAAATAAAATATCGAACCTCGAAATTTCGAACGGCGAGAAGCCGTGGGAACCAGATTGGCCGCCGCAAGTGATCGGCGCACATAAGATACGTGCGACTGGGTCGTCCTGGTCCTCGCCCGACCTCAGCTTCGACCTCGATCTCGACCTCGACGCAGCAGTGACACAGGCCGCGACGAGGTCATTGGCGGCGGCGGCGAGCAGCGAGCGACGTCGACAAGGGCATGGCGTCGACGCCGCTGCCCGCGATGTCGAGTCGTCCGTGCCATCTGTGCGGACGCCAGCTGCGGCAGATTCGTGGGCCGCCACCCACGTTGGTGCCACTCTGCCTCGTCTTCATGGAACGCGACCGGCCGCTCATCGTCGATAAGGCCAGCGTCGCCTTGCCACGTCAGGGCGCTACATCTTGACCAGATGCAGATCCGTGGGCTTCAGCTGCGAGGATTCGAAACCAGACGCCGTCGACATCGTAAGCAACGTGGCACGCCAAATATATGGAAGCGCCAAGATTTTATCGAATAGCGACGGGCGCTGGCGTCGACTAGGATCTGCGTGGGACGTCGTCGTCGTCGTCGGCTCTCGGCGCGACGAGCCGCGCCAGATTCGCCTGCCCAGATGTACCAGCATTAGCCTCGGATCATGGTTAGTGTAGAGATGCACACAGTGGCCGTGTTGAACTGATGCAACGCGAGATCACCGATGCATTCACTTGTAGTACCTCGTACGTGGCCACCAAGCCTGTCCGCAACTGCGTGGCTGCGGCGAGAAACGACGCTGACGGTGGTAGGATTGGCCTCGCGACAGCGATGCGCGCTGTCGAGAACGGACCTTCCTCTTCTTTCGCTGCTGCTACTCGAGCGTCATCATCCGGTCGCTCGACGCGCCGATCGGTCGTGCTACCTGAACTTTTTGATGATGATGGTGGCTTAGCGACAGGCCCCCCACCAAGCGAGCCTGTCGTTGTCGCCGTAAACGGGGTCGATCCTGCACCGAGCGACGCGTACTGCCGCGCGGTGCCGATGCCCCATCGACGCATCATCGCCGCTTGACCCACGTGGCTGCTCAGTCCAAGCGCGGCTGCGACTTGAAAGACATCTGGCGACGGGTCCCAGCACAGCGTGTCATCCGGGTGCACGTGCGGTAGGAGCGCGGCCTCCAAGTCGATGGCCAACCCAGCCGGTGCGCCGGGCACACTCGCCTCTACAAACCGCTGCAAATGCAGCATGCAATGGCTCGGCGACTCGCGCAGCACCAGTCGGCGCGTGCGTATGTCGGAGGGCGCATCGCGCGGGAGCATCGCCGACGACGTCGGGACTAGAGCGGATTCGTCGCCGCGGTAGTCCCAGATGTCGACGAGGATGCAATTGTCGTAGAAGATGCATGGCATCTACGCCACCCACGGTCCCATGTGAGAAGGAAACAACAACGTGCAGTACCAAGGTCGTGAGGCCGGCCGGAATGACGCCACTGTCCAGCGCCAGAAGAAACGCGCTGCCGTGTAGCGTCAATCATGGTAAAGAGAGTCGCGCGGTCGTACCTGGAAGCACTGTCGTAGGCTTGTGCATGGCCGTTGACCGCTTCGGCACGTGCGACGCCTCTGCAGAGAAACCCGTTGCGAAACAAGAACACGACGACCGAGCTCGCAAAGGCCGGTAGCGCGTCGAGCGGGAGGCCGTGGCGCTACGCCGTGGCGACTGTGATCATACGCCCATTTGGAAAGCGCGCCTACTGTCACGCCAAGTGTGGGATTGACCAACGCGCGAACCAGAGACTCGGGCGGCTGCACGCTGCTGGTGCACGGCCGCGCGAGGCTGCCCGAGGCCACCGCGTCGACAATCTGCCGCCACGGTCGCTTGGGAACGTGCTTGGGAACAGCGATGGGCGATTGCAGCTGCATCGGCGCGCCAGGCGCCCGCTTGCACGACGCGCGCTTGGCCTTCTGCCCGCGCAGCTCGAACGAGATGCGCATGATGGTCGATCTTCCGGTTGTGCCGGTTGCGAGATCGGTGCGGAATCAGCTAAACGAACGCAACTCTATCGGCGGCGGCGGGCTCTTGGTCGAAAGGAACAGTCGATGATGGCCGCAGCTGCGTACGTGCATATCAGTCGCTTGTCATCTTGCTTGCCACGCACGGTATCTTTCAAGCAGTAGCTTCGTGTTGCCGTCCCGTATACATTTCGACCAGGGCGTTAGAGTTGCGTGGATTTAGACACAAGGGATTGCTGGCGGCTGCGTCATCATGCAAGGCGATGGCGAGATCAACATGGAAGCGATTCCGATGCCAGCGTCCATCTCGATGAGCCCGCCACCCGGAAGCCTCTCGCTCCTCGAGCAGGAGGAAGACAACAACGAGGAGATGACGTCGGCCGAGCTCGACCAGCTCCAGCCGCTCAGCATGGACGAACCGCTGCTCCGGCCGTCGCACACGCGCCGGACTGGGCGGCCGGCGAACCCCGTGTGGCAGTACTTTCTACGTGGCGCCAAGCGCAATCGGTTCCACTACCATGCGTACTGCCGGTACTGCGTTCTCCACTACAAGCAGTCGCATCCCGACGTGGACGACGATGGAGCAATGGAGCACATCGACTCGACGCGTGGCGTCTCGTCCGACATGATCAAGCACCTCAAGCAGTGCGAGCACACGCCCTCCAGCATCGTTGAAGATCTCGAAGCGTACATGGCCGAGTGCCACCAGCGGGCCAAGTCGACGCCCACACCTGCTAAACGAAAGCAGCCGAGTCGCCCAAACCAAGAGTCGCCCGACGCGCTGCTGTGGAAGGCGACGGTCTCAGCGAGTCTTCCTCTGCACTGGACCCGTGCGCCTTTGATTGCGTCGCTGCTATCGATGCCATCGTCGCTCGGAGACATTGCGACCGTCGCGTCCAGCCTCGCGAAAGCGCAGCTCGACAAGGTCAAAGAAGGCATGCTCAACTCGACGATCAAAGGCGGGCTCACGCTCAGCGTCAACGCGTGGCAGCCACAGGCGTCGGTCCCTCACCTCGTCTCGTTCTCGCTCATCAACTCGGACGGCGACGCGTGCGCGCTCTCCTTGGTGTCGGTCCACGACTGGACCGTGCCCGAGCTGCAAGCCCATGTCAGCGCTTGTTTAAGCGCGCTGCGCCAGAGCAACGTGTCGATCGTGGCCATCGTCGCTGATGCAATGCTGCCGCTGCAAGCCGCCATGCGTTTCCAAGCGGCGAGCGCCCCCGACCTCCTCGTCTTGCCGTGCCTCCACCACGTGCTTGAGCTCCTCCTCGGGTCCCTCCTCACCGACGAACGTTACGAGGCGCTTCTAGGAGCGATGATGGAGGTCACGAGCTACCTTCGGCATCCGTCCATACCGTTCGTGCCGCCGCCCGTGGCACTGGCCAACGACGTCCATTCGATCGTCGCGACACTCGATGCCTTTGTGCAGCTGAGAGATGCTCTGGCCGACGTGGCGCTGCCGCCGTCCCTTCGCGCCTATCTCGACGACGTAGCGACGTGGACCGGGCTGCGATCGCTCCTCGAGCGCCTACGACCCTTGCACGCGGCCATGACCCGCAAGTGCCCGACGCTCGCCCACGTCGTGCACACATTAGCGTGGCTCTATAAACACTTTGACGACGACGACGCGATGCGAGAGCTGCTCGAGAGCTTCTGGCGCTGGTACGATCTCCCGACGATGGGGCTAGCGTGCGTCTTCAACGTGCATCTGGAGCTGCATCTCTCGCCCGCCGTGCGCAGCCTCGTGCCAACGTACTTTGAGCACGTCTATGGTCGCTGGTTCCACGCACCGATCCCGGCATCGACGATCGACGATGTGCTCGCGGCCGTCGATGCCAAGTCGTTTCCGTTTGATGGCGATGTCACACGCGACTACCTCGACGACGTGAGCTCCTTTTATTCGTTTGTCGCCAACTCGCACCCGGAGCTCTGCGCGCTCTGCTGCCGCCTCTTTGCTGTCGCGGTCCACGCCGCGCCCGTGCCGCGGCTGTTGCGCCGAGCACCGATGGACAACACGGACGGTCTCCTCCCGTGGCTGCACATCGCCTTTGCTGTGAGCGGGGCCAAGACGTCGCCGCCGGTCGTGGCCAAGTCCAAGGACGCAACTCGATGGCTGCACGCACAAGAGACACAGACCCACGGCGTCTTTAGCAAGCGCGAGTGGACAGCCTTGGCGTCTGCGTGGCGAACACGACTCGCCGACGAAGTTGCGATTGCGTCGGCGCCAACGACCCAGGTACCGTCCGTGCGCCTGCGTGACTTTTTGGTGGTGCTGCCGCCCGAGCACCTCGTCGTGCCCGACCCGAGTCGGGAATCAACATGATGATGATACGAAATATATTGGTCGCAGTACGTCTACTTGGTCTTCTTGTCCTCGTCGTCGTCTTCGTCTTCCGAGTCGCTCGAGTCCTCCTGGAGCTGCATGACCTGCTGGAAGAGCGTCGGCTCATTGTCGAGCTCAATGTCTTCCGGGTGCGCTTCAAACACCGGGAGCGAGTCGGCCGAGACGACCTGGAACCGGATTGCCTTGCGCTGGTCGAGACCCAAGTACGAGTCCGACTTGAGCCAAATATCAAGTTGATACTGGCCTTCCTTGGGCGGCGCCTGGAGACGGAGCTTCTCTTCGACCACCTGCTCCTGCGACGTGAGCTTCGAGAACGCGTGCAAGTGGTTCGAGCGCGAGTCGCCGACAAGGACAAACCACCGCTCGGCCTTGGGCACGGGAAACTCGGGCGCGTACACAAGGTCGCACGTTTCGCCTTCCTCGACGTTCTTGCGCGTGAGCTTGACCGTGACCGTCATAATGTCGCCCTCGGCAATTTGATCTTCGTCTTCGACTTCGCACGTAATCTCCATGTCAATGTTGGGGAGGATCGAGCACACGCGGTTGACCTCAGCCTTCTCGTCGTCGCTCATGTTGTTCATGCCCCGGCGCGCATCTTCGGGCGCGTCGATAAACTGCTGGAGGCTACGGATGCCGTTCTTGCCTGTCATCGTGTGCTTGACTTCGGCTTCGGTAAAGTGCGGCAGCTGGAGGAGCGCAGAGTCCTTGACCCACAGCGCCTGCGTAATGTGCTGCTCAAACTCAATGACGTTGATGAGCGTCTGGAGCCAGCCCTTGGAGACGCAGATCTCCATCATGCCATCGATCAAATGCATGGCCTTCTTGAGCATCGTGTTGAGGTCCGCCTCGAGCGCCGGGCTCAGCGGCTTGCGCAGCAAATGCGCGTGCATGAGGAGGTTCGACTTGGCGATACCCGGGTGGTTGAAGCGGGCCTTGGCCATGCTCTGGTCGTTCTTGAGGTCGCGGAAGATCGCGCCAAGCTCGCCCTGGTCGTTCGGGCGCTACATGACGATACAAGTCAGCATACATCCGAGATGAAAGCACGACGTACGACGGGGATTTCGCGGTACTCGGCCGACCCGGCAAGGACCTCGGGCATCATCTTCAAGTGGGCGTGCTCCGAGAGCGCGTAGTTGTAGAAGCCGTACGAGTCGTACATGATCATGCTGTCGCCGTACTGCTTCGAGTGCGAGTACCAGAGCGCGACCGCGGACGGGATCGCGACGACGAGCACGAGGAGGTAGATGGTGAGAATCGCCATGTGGTTGTCCTTGTCGAGGAGGAACGTCGGGAGGCCAATGCTGAGCTGGAGCGACTGGCGACCATCGGGGTTGCCAAACATCTCGAAGTTCTTCTTGGCGACCGGATCTGTGAGCGCCTGGTTGGCCTTGGCGACGAGCACAAACTTGGACTCGGCGACCGAGTCGCCCGGGTTCTTGTCCGGGTGGTAGAGCAGACTCATCTTGCGGTACGCACGCTTGATCTCTTGCTCGGACGCGCCGCTGGCAATGCCAAGGATCGCAAACGGGTCAAATGTCTTGATCTCCGAGTCGTCCTTGACGAGCATGATCATCGTGTAGAGACCATACCACATGACCGCGAGCACGACGAGGTTGATGACAAAGGCCACGTTGAACACCTTGCGGATCGACGTCTTCTCGGCCTGGAGCTGCCGGACCTTCTGCAGCTCCTTGTCGCAGCGCACGTCGAGCTGGTCGAGGAGCTTGTCCTTGAGGAAGACGCCGTAGATGATGCGCTTGAGGCTCAGGTACGTGAGCGGGATCGCGTAGAGCGACCCGAGCGAGATGCCAAAGTAGTAGAACGCCGAATTATCGTACTCCAACATGGCAAAAGGTCTTGTGACCAAACAGCTTCGGCGACTCCGGAAATCGCGCCACGTATCCGGCAGATTTTACACTTGCTGTTTGTATCGCCACGTGGCCCGCGTTTCCATACAATCGTCAAGTGGTGTCGAAAAAGAAGCCGATCGATCGGGAAGCGGACGAGGAAGACCTGGAGACGCGGACGAGGAAGACCTGGACGATATGATGCGCCCGAGGTAGGAGGCAGTGGGTAGAGGTAGGAGGTAGTGGGTAGTTGTTGCTACTGCTGCTGCGGGGTGCGACGACGACGATGGCGTTGGTAGGGACGAAGAAGCGAACGCCTGCATGGCGCGCGGAACGTCAGGAACGATGGTTAGCGATAGGATGATGTTTGGAGACCAAGGATGATCATGAAGGCAAAGGATGAAAGGAGCCGAGGATGGTAGCGGCCGTGGGCATGAGGGTGTGTACCTGTGTACCCCCTGCCCACAGCAACATGTGACGGATGACGCTGGGATCATGCATGCTTGTGGGAATCCGAAAGGAGAATATGACCATGAAGATCTCCATGAAGTCAGGTCTCGATCGTCTTTCATGGCTCAGTCCATGCGAAGGAAGCAGTTGCAAGTCGGTTCTGCGACGGTGATGCTATGATGGGTGACGCTGCTGGTCGCACGGAGAAGAGACCATTGTACTCATCATCTACCCATGTCACCGAGCATGGAGCATGTAGGTCCATCGCTGCATGTGCTTCCCGCAGACCTTCCTCCGTACCCCTCCTCCTCCATGTTCCTTGGTCGGCGCATGATCCGGAGCCTGATCCTACCGTAGGTCGTCATGCTGGCGCTGGCTCCAGTTCTCTGACGCAGCACGTCACTGGGCTTTCTGCACGAATGTCGGCAGCTGGTCGTTGAATTGGGACAAGTCCGAATCATAATCTGAAAATCAGGACGTCGCCTGAGTTTACCGCATGGTAGAGGACCATGGCATTGCGATTTGCGCCAAGCGCTGGTCATTACACTCGCAGGAAGAACACGGCGAGCATGGGTATGGACACGCCGACGTTCATCATCCTCGTGTCCTTGGCAGGCGTCGCCGGCGTCCTCCTCACGGGCTACTGCCTGCGCAAGTACGAGGACATGCAGGGCAACCTCGACGGGCTCATCTTTGCGCCGTCGGACGAGCCACTCTTGCGCGAAAACTTGAAGGACAGTTTTCTCGAAGAGGGCCGCTTCGAGTGGCAGTGCGTCGTTTGCGCGCACCTCAACCACCCTGACAAGTCGACGTGTTCGCTCTGCGGCGCCACCGAAGGTAGAATCCTCCTCCTCATTCCACCCCGGCGTCACTGGTGCGGCGACTAGTCATGATCAACGACCTCAAGTGCTCGAACCTCACCGCGCTCTCGTCCAACCGAACGCTCAAGACGCTTGGCTCGACCGTGCTCCTCGTCTCGGCGCCGTCGGTCGATGGTTTCGTCGAAGAAGATGGCGGCGTCAATACGGGCGACGACCGGACATTGACGACATCGCTGCCCGAGTCGCGCCAGCGTGCACTGCGGTACCGTCGCCACAACATGCAGCTCAACCAGCGCCAGCGTCAAGCCAAGCGCCGCCGGCTCTGGCAGCGCGCGCACCTCGCCAACGGCAACTACGTCTGGGTGCGCACGTCGACGTTCATCAACACGGACGGCAACCTCGACGACACGTTTCTGCAGTCGATCGCCAACAAGCCGCGCGGCAGCACGGGCGCGCTCCCGACGTCGCTCCAGGAGATGCTCCACCGCAAGAACGCGGCGTCCATGGGCTTTGTGACGCAAACCAACCGCGAGACTGGGACGCTTGTCTGGAAGAAGGCCAACTCGCACACCGGTAGAGCTATCTTATCTCAACATGCGACGTAATGTCAAGCCTTTGAGTAGGGGACGACCACGACGACGATCTCATGTGCTTGGAGGACGGCTTTGCGTACGACCTCGAAGGCCTCATGGCGCTGCCCTTTAGCCAAAAGAAAACGTGGTTTGTGAAGAAGCTCGCGCGTCTCGCCGTGCCGTACCACGAAGCCTGTCACTCGATCCGTACATCACTGGCCTTTCTTGGATGAGTCGGCTCATGAAGATGTAGTCGTGCGGCGGCAGTTCGTCTTGGAGGACTCGGTCGCCCATTTCTCGGCGGCCGCCGACCGTGGCCGCTTCCACGAGCATCTCCAAGTGACCTTCGAAGGCGAGGCCGCGCTAGATGCTGGCGGTGTTTTGCGCGAGTGGTTTGGGCTTGTCTGCGCCGAGCTCTTCTCGGGTCCGCTCGGCCTCTTCTCGACGACGCACGCCGAGAACCAAAGCTACTGGATCAACCCCGCGTCCAAGCTCGCCCTTGGCAAGTACCATTTACACTACTTTCGGTTTGCGGGCTGGGTCCTTGGCCGCGGTATCCTCGAGGGCTTGGTGCTCGACGCGTACCTGGCGCTGCCGCTTCTCAAGCACATTCTGGGTGTGCCCATCTCGTTTTCCGACTTGGAGTTTCTCGACGAAGAGCTGTACCGCAACTGCCTCTGGGTCCGTGACAACGCCGGCGTCGACGCGCTCGCACTCACCTTTAGCATCGTACCGTCTTTGCAATGACAATACAAATGCTCATATGCAGCGGTTAGCAAAGCGCCTACGGCGGGGAAGTCGACCTGAAGGAGAATGGCCGCAACATTGAAGTCAACGACGCCAACAAGCTCGAGTACCTCAACCTCGTGCTCGAGTACAAGATGCTCATAAGCATCTCGGAGCCGCTCCAAGAGCTCCTCACGGGTCTCTATGACATCATCCCCCGCGCCATGCTCAGTGTCTTTGACTACCAAGAGCTCGAGTTTTACACGTGCGGTACGTCCATACGTTGCCTTGGTTGATACAAACTTGATACTATTGCATGCTTAGGCGTACCCAGTATTTGCGTCGACGACTGGAAGAAGAACTCGGCCGTGCGCCACATCCCTGGCGCGTCGCGCGTCAAGCAGAACGAAGTCCTCGAGTGGTTTTGGAGCGTTGTCGAGAGCTTTAGCGACGAAGAGCGCGGCCGACTGCTCCAGTTTGCCACCGGGTCGAGCCGCCTCCCCGTCGAGGGCTTCAAGGGCCTCACAAGCTTTAGCGGCCAGATCCACAAATTTACCATTCAAGTGGTTCAGCGAGGCCACCCGCCCGCGGGTCTCTGCCCCAAAGCCCACACGTGCTTCAACCGGTACGCTTGATGCGACTCGTCGCCTCAATCGACGACTCATGGATGGCGTAGCATTGATTTGCCACTGTACAAGGACCGCACCGAGCTCGAAAACTACCTGAGCCTCGTACGTCTGGTCTAAATGCACGGACTGACAAATAACAATGGATTAGGTGATTCAAATGGAGATTACCGGGTTTAGTTTGGAGTAAATTAACTTATCAACCGAATTGCTGCTGGTTCACCGCGCATTCGAAGCTAATCAACGTGTACATGTGCTTGGACGTAGCAAATGGTCGGGGCTTCAGTGATTCTCGCACATAACCTGTGGTGTACTGCGCTTCCTTTTAGCATCTTGGTGCGCACACTTGGGCGTTTGTAGTATAATACATGAAGTTGTTACGCATGCGATTTCAAGTATACGGAGCGCGACGTCATTTACGAGCTCGCGCTGCTAAGGAGCTTGCGGCCGCTGCGGTATGCGTAGCTGAACTGCGTGTACTTGCTGCCGCTGCCATCGGCATCGGCGCCGACAAACGTGCGAAACTCTGGCGTGTCTTTGATTGTTTCGTTGGCCAAGAGCGCTTTGAGGTACCTACATCCAAGCGTCAAGATGAAGCGCAAGGGAGACTGCCACGCACACGTTGAGCGCCGCCTCGCGCTGCTCGACGACCGCGCGATCTCGGTTTTGAAAGTAGACGCGCTCCGGGAACTGCAGCGTACACGCGTGAAGCTGCACGAGCTATTACATACAACAGGAGCGAACCAGCGTTAGAACCACAGTCATGGACAAAGAAATGTACCTTGTTGTGCAGCTCGAGGAATTGGCGGTACCGCCGAAGCACCGTCCAGCGCTCGCCTTGGCGGGACACGACAATGCGGTAGACCTACGCCGCATGCGTCCATGCACCCACGAGAAGTACTGCACGTACGACATGGACGTCGGAGCCCTGCGTCTCGGTGGACGAGCTCGTGATCGCCACGTCGGTGATGGCACGCACGCAGTAGCGCGATGGCAGCGTCGTCACGCGCGCCGAGTCGCGGCCTCGCGGGTCCACCTTGCTCTACGCAGCCATAAGCCATCGGCAGATCTTATAGCACATGCACCATGGGCAGGTCTTGCGCAGGGACGCACATGGAGAAGAGCGATCGCAGCATGATAGCGGCGCGTTACAAATCTCGAAATGGCAGGACTGTCATGGATCATGGATCGTAGTGTTATCCGGAGGCTTCCGGACAACCGGCTCGCGGCGCTGCCACGTCATGCGCAGGTCGTTTCGATCGCCAGCGGTGGAGCTTCTACCGAGAACGCATCGGTGGCCACGAGTCGAGTGCCTTCACCTGCTGGCACTGCCCACCTTGTCGCGTTCTCTGCTTGGTGCAAGCTTCGAGGCGGCGCGCGCTCCATCTATCACCTCGGCGTGAGCAACCCTGTTCTATGCGCTGAGAAACCGCACCCAAGATCCAAATCTCGCAAACTTGGGTAAAGCTGGACGTCACCTCCTTACCTCTTACCGGTAGGGAGCCCGTCGACCTCAAGTAGAGAGATAATGGTACGAACGTGGTGCCGATTGAGTGTACTAACCTTAGAAATGGCTCGTAGCATGGGCGTTCCTGTGCTGCATTCTCGCGTTCTGACGGCATTTCAGAGACCACCGCAGGTTGAAGTTGGAGACACTTTGGAAGAGTAATTTGTTAAAATAACATACTAAGTGGGACACCCGACGTTGCGACGACGATCAAGGGTCGACGATCATATCGACGTGTTCGTAGCCGTGACGCGGCGCCGTCACCTTGCGATAGACAATAAGGGCCACAAGCGCCACCAAGAAGGCGCCCGTAAGTGCTACACCGATGAGCACGGGACGCCGGACGGTCGACGGTGCCGCTAAGCGCGCTGCCAACTGCAGCAACTGCGTCGTTGCTGTCTTCCGAAACACGTTGGACACGAACTGCAAGACGTCGACGTACGTGTCAAAGGAGAGCTGGCGCAAGGCGTGAATGTCGACGCCGGACGCGTCAATCGCGCAGTGTGGCAGACGATACAGCGCGGCGTCAGCCTCGAGGAACCAGTCGCGGCACGCCGTCGTCGCTCGCAGCCGGTCCCATTGCGCTTGCGTCGGAAGTGTCGTTGTCAACACGCTCACGTCGGCCGCTTCCAAGCAAGGTGCCAAGTAGGCGCTGGCAACAAGCGACTGGAGCGCGTCCCGCAACACTAATGGTGGACACTGTGTCGCAACCCGCGGGTACGTGGCAACCCGAGCGACCTCGGTGACCATGGACCACGACACCTCCTTGATGGACGCCGCTTCCGCGCACGCCTGCTGGCTAGCAACGGCTTGGGCATACGCAAAAAGCTCCTTGCAGCGTGGGCTGGTCGTCACCGCCGTCACTTGTGCTGGCGTGTACGCCCCAAAGGCCAATAAGTCGGCCATCGATACGCCCGCATCGGTCGCGCACGATGTGCTCAAGGCCGTTTGCGAGACAGCCGAGAGCACTTCGTCCCGATTGCGCTGGGTGCAAGGTGGTAGGTGCGCCATCACGAGGACGGGCAGCAGAAGCAGCGTACATAGCTGCATGACAAATTGAAAATGACACGAGGCGCGACCTGATGACGGAGATCGCAAGATGTGGCGTCATAGACATACTGCACTCGACGTCCAACGCAATCCAAATTTGTGTGGTGTCGGAATTCAGGGCCACATCCTCACCGAGTCCCACCCGCGCAGCCACATCGCGCGCTCGTGTGGGGCTCTGCAAGCTCCCAAAGAATTCGATCGGTAGCAAAGGGAGCCGCGCCAAGTAACGCTATGGTCAACCTGAACGTAGATGTTGTTGACAACAAGGTAGCACGGGTGGACTGAAGATATGATGCGTCCGCTTTTCCTATTTGTGGCCCGCATTATCAGCCTGCGAGTCGATAGGCTCAGCAAGGGTACATTGCGAAGTGCAATAACTTCTCTGCGATGTCGGCTTGTAGTTCGAGCTGTCCTCTCGCCCAATCACGTTGAAAACAAATGAAAATCCTGTTTCCTCCGAATGCCACGTCATTATTCTACATCGCAAGAGCCAAGGGTACAATGGGCAAAACGACACTGCACTTTTTTAAATCTGGAGGAGACTCGACGACTCGCCGTAGCGAGCAGGCTCTTCACGCACCTTGTTGTACACAAACATCGCGACAAAGGCGAGGAGAAAGCCCGCGGCCACCGAGCCCGAGACCAAGAGCGTCGAGCTGCTGCCATCCGAAACGCTTTCGGGTTGGAGCGCAGCCATGGCCATCGTCATGAGCTGCGGCGCCACCTGCTGATGCAAAAAGTCGCTGCCGAGCGAAACCCAGCCAACAAAGCTATCGAAGTCGAGCTTCTCGATCGCGTGGATGTCAAAGCCCTTGCTGTCAACGGCGCAGTGCGGCAGACCCGAGAGGAGGTTGATCGCATCGTTGTAGAGCGCGCGGCAAAAGTCGTTTTGGCCAAAGTTCGTGATCTGCTCCTTCGTCGGCATCGTCTTGGTGAAGAGGTTGGCGTAGAGCCCAGTGGCCGAGAAGCACGGCATGATGTTCTGGTTCTGGAAGAGCGGGCCGAGGGCCTTCTGGAAGTCGGCCTGGTCGCAGCGCGCCGTGACCTTGGGGTACGACCCGACCTCGAGCATCGACGTCACCATCGGCCACGTGATCTCCGATCCGTAGTAAAGCTCGAGGCAGCCGTTGGCCTTGGCCGCCGTCTGGGCCTTGGTCCAGAGCGCTTTGCAGTTGCTACTGCCAATGAGCGCCGTCGTCTGCTCCGGCTTAAGCTCCTTCATCTTGGCAAAAGCTTCGACTGACACGCCGACATCCGAGGCGCACGCTGTGTACGATACGTCGGCCGTGAGCTGGGTGTTGAGCCCTTCAAAGTCGGCCTTCGTGCAATGCTTCTGCGTGGCCAGCACAGTCGTCGCCATGGCAGAGAGGAAGAGCGCCGAGAGCTTCATGGTTGTTGAGCTGCACAAGAGGAGGCAAATGCAAAAGTGATTTTCCTATGACGTCCGCCATCGGCGATGGCCATAGACCACGCAGCCTGCATTCTGAAAGATTCAGCAAGAATGTTGGCTCTTGAAGTTGTCGGACCAGATTGCTGAACCGAACCCATACAAACTTCCATATAAAATAAAACGATCCATCCGGAAAACATCCGGAATTGACACAATCACCAGCTGGTGAGGTCGTGTGTGGCAAGGTCGACCGCCGCTGGGTCGCAAGCGAAGGATATGCTACTGCTCGTGCATGGACGTCGGTGCATACCAAGGGCGAGAGGTACTGGCAGCTTGCAGCCTCTTGGCGCGAGTTATACCCATTGGCAAGACGGCGGAAGCGTAGCCAGCCTGCGTAAGCCGATCGCGACGGACGTTAGTCGCGTCTGAAATAAGAAATGCTAATTGTTTAGCTTAGTCACCAAGTAGACGCATACGCTCGCCCTTGGAGCTCGAAGCATACCAGCGCCCGCGGCGTGCCTTTGCGAGTACGGCCACGCAGAGGATGGCCATGACCAGAAAGGGCGCCAGCACAAACATTGGCCTTGGCGTCGTCACTTCCGCGAACGAGAAAGGACCCGGCTTCGCCGCCATTGCTGCTGCTGCAAGCTCGCCCCAGTCGACGACCGAGTCGAACGAGACGTTGTCGAGCGCGTGGACGTTCATGTGCACGCCTTGTTGGTCCACGTTGCAGTTGGGGAACGTCGTTGCGAGCGCTTGCAGGTCGCTGTAGAGGCCTTGACAGTACCGGTTCGTACGCGCTTGCTCCAACTGTCCTTGGCTCGGCGGTGTCCGCATCGCAAACGTGGTGTAGAGACCGGAGACGGACAAGCATGGCATCAAGTTGGCGTTGGTGAAGAGCGATGAGATCGCCGACTGCACTTTGGTGGGTGGGCACGCGTCCTCGGCCAACGGGTAGCTCGCCACCTTCAAATACGTAGTCGCCATGTCCCATGACACGCGCGTCAGAAGCTGCAGCTCCAAGCACGTCTCGTTTCCGGCGAGAGTTTCGAGCTGGGATAGCCAGTCGCGGCAGTTGCTGCTGCGCACAATGGCCTCGACCTGCGAGCTTGTGGGCACCTTGGTCGAGGTCGCATCGGCGACCGTCATGCTTGCGTCCGTCGCACACAACTGCGCTTCGGGAAGCGCCCCGGCCTTGGCCAGAAACCGCGTCAGCGTCGGGCGATCGCAGTGCGTCGTCATCTTGGTCGCAAAGTGAGCTGCGGAGAGAAGGCCAGATCGGCCGTTCGAACGCAAATGCATATAAAAATGATTTGGAACGGCCTTAAAATCCTTGGCGCCCACTTCAACTTCAACCAAACCCAGCCACGACCAGGTCCCTGCCCACGACGCAACGCCATGACATTCTGGCGATGTGCCTCAATGCTCGAGGTAGCTGAGCGGCAGCGCAGACCGGAATCAAGCGCACATAGATGGTTCCAAGCTAGGTAGCGGCGGCACTGGGAGCGTCATGTACCGCCACGTCTTGATATCAAAAATGTACAAGT